CATGTCAGACTGAGATCATATGTTCTGCTTTGAGCTCAGTTTAATGATGGGTGGAGTTTCTTAAGTCCTCTGGGTGTAGTAGTAGTTTTTACATCTACTAGTAGTTTTCCCTCGAGCTGCGCCGAGTGTGTCTAGGGAAACGATCTTCACCTCGTTACTTCAGGCCGACCGTCACTTATTTCTTTTCTTTCTTTGAACAATTTTTGTTGTTGGACTCTTTGTAAAATCTTCTTTTCTTGCCGTCCCTGTCCTCGAGCACATTTGCTCCACTTCCTTCACCGTTTCCTCCGTGCTACGGTCAACACGTTTCCTTATACGGAGCAATTGGACCTTGAGAATGATTGTGATTGGCCAACAGGTGATTGGTGGTTTGAATCGTCTCTACTGTCTCCTGTAGGCCCTGTGATGGAGCTGTCCTCCACCTGCACCAGGAGGCCCAGCAGCCATTCAGGAAGAGGGGGGAGGGAAGGAGAGGAGACTGTAAGGAGAACAGAGACCCTCGGGATAATCTGCAGAGGAAGAGAAGGGACCGGAGAGGGTGAGGAAGTCACAAAGAATCACCGATCAGTCATCGATCAATCACTGCAGACTCTAACAGCCTGACTGTTACAGGGCTCAGACCACAAACCAGTTCACACCTACTTCTGTTTTTCGGTGTGGCAGCAAGATCCAGATCCGCAGAGCTGAAATCCGAGTGGCTCTAATCAGGAAGACCCGGATTCAGACTGGGTCGAGCAGATTAGACCCGGTTCAGGGTCTGACTGAGCCACAGCGGGACCAGCAACCAGCCCAGAGCACATGGGTCAGAACCCTGTCCGAGGTGGGTCTGTGAGGGTTCAGGCTCTGTCCAGGACTTCCTCTACTATGATACCCAGAGTTCATAGCACCGCAACATAAACACAAGGTTACCATGGAAACGTAAGCTCAACCTTAGCAGAAACAACAAAATGAAGGTTTACATGAAACTTCAGAGTTCATGTTTGTTCTGATTACTTCTTAAAAATGAAAGTAAGTAAAAGTAAATGGAAGCACTCGCCATGACAACGCAGTGATGATATATATCTGCCTGGTCCTTCGCGGCGGCGTCATCACAGTTTGTGTCTTTGTTTTTATTCTTACTGTGCTGCACGGTTCAGCGTCTCCTCTGCTAAAGGTGGCAGTCAGGAAGCACGGGGCTTCCTCGTTGGTTTCTGGGAAATTTGTAGAGTTCTGATTGGCTGCAAAGGATCAGTAAGAATAAAGCGAGACCAGCTCAGAATGATCCATGTTCTGATCCCAGGTTAGACCCGGGTCCGGGTCCAGGGGAAGCATTCCTGAGACCAGGACCAGAAGGAGGAAGAAGGTCCAGCCGTCTGCGTTCAGAGGCAGAGGTGCGATCAACTGATCAACGATCGATCGATTTAAATCTGCAACTGACTCCGGCTGTCTCCTTTCTCTGTAGGTCAGCTGCGACTGTCAGTCACCAGAGAGCTGCAACAGCTGATCATTCACAGTAAGTGCTGTAGCAGCCAATCAGAGGAGACCTTCTGACAGTTAGAATAGAATAGAATAGAATAATCATTAAAACACAGGTAGAACCTCAGAGTAGCCCAGTAAAAAGTCAGACTAAGTGTGGACGACGGGTGGACTCAGACTTACAGTGTTTGATCAGCTAAAAACAAAGATGGCTGCCTCTCCTACTCTTTGAGGTTCTCTGACAGATTCACATGCAGAGTTTATGTTTATGGAAATAAATATTATCCTGTAATAAATCAGGCGTTCTGCTGTCGGGCTGAACTGTAACTGCGCTGCTGTCGGCACATTGTGGAAGTGACTTCCTGTCCTGGAGCTCAGTGTTCCAGTGATCAATCGTTCATCCGTCTTCGTTTGGTCAGCCTGTTCTCTTCTGTCTGCAGTCCATGAGGCCAGAGGGCTGATGGGACAATCCCAGAGATCATGTGACTCCTATGTGAAGGTGAGGATGTGATGTCAGTAAGTTGATCAGCTGCTACTGCGACAGTCGAATATCAAAGACAAGACCTGTTTGTGCATGTGTTCACAGCTGGCCGTGACCTATGACCTGCAACGCAGCATCAGGATTAAAACTGACACGGTCTACAACAACAAGAACCCAAAATACGAGCGCCGCTTTAAGCTGTGAGTCACACAAAGGTTTCTAATCGCACACTTATAGAGACGGCGCTGGGACTCAGGACACCTTCGACTGTGCTATGAGAGTTTGCTGCAGGAGTTCCAGTCCGGGGTCAGACTGGAAATGAACTTTCACTGAAAGATCCTGGATCACGCCATTTCCTGTCCTGAGTTCTTACCTACAGTCTGATCCAGTGTGGAGGTTTCAAAGAAGGCTTCCCAAAGCCAGCAGCTTCAGCTGTACGAACATCACTGTTACCTGCACCAGAGCATGAGCTGTCAGGCAGGCTGGCTCACAGCTCGCGAGCCTCGCCCCCGTACAGTCAGCGCTCCAACATAATAGTTTTAGCTCTTCACAGCTGCAACCATCCAATGAAATTCTTAATAAAATCAATGAATACAGATATTAAAAATACTGTAGCAACTGTAGTGCAGAGGTAGTGCCAGATACATGTACAGTGTGTAATATAAACTGTCCAATATTCCAGCAGCTCAGTGTCCTGATGGCTTGTGGGTAGAAACTGTCCCTGCTGCTGTGGGTGTGGACGCTCCTCATGAAGAGCGTGAGGCTGTGGTGGCTGGGACCAGAGAAGATCCTCTGGGCCGTCCTCCTGTAGATGTCCTGGATGGCTGGCAGCTCAGACCTGCTGATGCGCTGTGCTGGTCACAGAGCGTCATAGCTGCTGGTCCTCACTGATGTGATGCCCAGGAGCCCGAAGCATCCGACTCTCTCCACTTGTATTCCCCTCGATGTAAATGCCTCCGCCCCACGAGCTCCTTGGTGTTGCTGATGTTGAGCAGCAGGTTCTTGTCCTGACAACTGATGATGATGCTGTTGGAGCTGGGTGGGGCTGCACAGCCGTGGCCTGCACACACATCCCTGGGGGGCACCGGTGCTGAGCGTCAGTGCAGATCATGTGACACTACCGATCCTAGTTTACACAATATACTCCTCATGGTGGCGCACAGGTGTCAGTACCTAATAATCATGCACAGCGCTGTGCTCACCCACCTGAGGCTCCCAACATGTCAGCACTGCCAGATGCATTTACGTGTTGCGTCTGAGAGGGGGCGACATTGAGCCTGGTGCACATGTGCATCGTCTGCACATGCATGGATACTACATTGTCGTTATCATGGATTAAGTGGAATCACATACAGCATCAACACTTGTCTGCACTCCTGAATGAAGGAAAATATAACTACTAACCAAGCAGCCAGTTCTAAAACACCCTCCACCCACCTCCATCAGCACCACCATTGAGACAGCAGAATGTGGCTGTGCTCCTGAGCTCCTCATGGAGCTCTTCAAACTGTCGAGGGTCTGTACATGGCAGCTTTGCAGGCTCGAGCTCAGTTTTTCTGAGGGAGATGAGGAGACGGTCAGACGTGCTTTCATCTCCTCGCGTTTGGATGTTTGCGTCCGTGAGTGAGCAGAGTTCAAAGTGCAGACAGAGAGCATGTCCTCTGGCTGCTCTTCATCGCTTACGTGTTCCTTTGTTGCTTAAAGTCGATTCAAACGTTTCGGACTGAAGTCTGGACTCACACTGAAGTGCATCGCTGACCTCTGACCCCAAGTTGCATGGGCACTGTAGCGTGTATCAGAATTGCACACCCTGTTTCTTCTTCCTGTGGAGGGCCGGCTTAAATGAGTGATGCACCTGATTCAAGCCGCGTGCCTCAGGTTGGACACATGTGGTTTACACTGTTTGCATTTCCATTGTGTTTACAGTGTGTGTGTGTGTCTCAGGTGGATCAGAGGAGAGTTCATGCCGAGCAGGTTGCTGGTTTCAGTGTTCAGACGACCTGCTGACAACAGGTGAGTGATGACATCACTCTGACTCTCACCTGTTGAGCTGCTGATGATTGCAGCTCTCTTCAGGCTGGACATCCACACATGTTGCAGTTCACACTCTGGCCTGATGGTGGCAGTGGGGCTCACGTGGTACACTTTTTTAAACACTTTGAGGTCACATGATGAAAAGTTCAGACTCAGCTTGAATTTGAGGTTTCAACATCCAGACTGAAGGAAGAGTTCAGCTTCAAGGCTGCAGGTACCTGCACAGGTGTGGGTCTTTCCTTTCCATGATCACAACATCCAGCCAGAGAAGAAGAATCTCCAGGAGGAAGACACCTCATTACCTGAGCATGAAGAGAAGAACCACAAACGCAGGAGGTTCAGAAAGCTTCCAGAAACAGGCCGAGCTGCTCCGTCCTCTGATCCAGAATGATGCGGTCGCTCCAAGACGATCAGAACAAGAACCGACTGAACTTAAATAATACAAAATATAAGAAACAGCTCTAGTACATGCAGAACACCACAGAGATGAAATCTGTATGACTGACTGAGAAAGCTGAGGCTCTGAAGCATGCAAACACAGAGCGCTGATGGGCACGCTCAGTGTGTTTGGCGAGAACATGCCGACCATCCTGAGCTCGGTTATTCAGCGTCACAGGGTTTCAAACCAGAAGCTTCACTTGAACCTGGACAGCAAGGACACAAACCAGCCAAAGGATCCTCGTCCCTGTGACCTTCTTCTGCCGCTGAGCTCTTGAAAACAGGAAATCAAATGTTTTACTTTAAACATTCCAATTAAAGTTCACGGCCTGAATTATCTAAGGTTATGCAGACTATCTGGCCTGAAGGCGGTGCTTTGTCTTACTCATCAGGTGTGTCCATCTCCTCAGGCGCAGTCAGCTGATTGGCTGTATGAGCTTCAGGATTGGCTCTCTCGTCTCATCCTGTGAGGTGAGTTAAAGTAATCGCAGCAGAGAATCTCGCACTGACTGTTTATACACTTTGTAACCTGCTGGCTCCGCCTCCTCTGGAATGACAGCCCCTCAATGGTTGGTTCTACCTCTTGGCGGAGGAGTATGGGTGGAGCAAACACCTGAGAGTGACATCACACAGAAGCAAACCAACAAGAAGCTCTGAAGAGGCGTGTGTGGACATCAGAGGTAAGGATTGGCTCCTCCGTGGTCATGTGACCCCGGTGATTGTGAAGCAACTTTCCGAAAGTCAGTGGAGGAGCTTCACAGTGACCTGTCTGATGATGTCATTCTGTTACAGGTGAGTCAGCTGACAGGTGATGTGAATCCCATAATTTATTTATATAGCACTAAAAAAACAACATCTAGTGTGAACGCTCAAAGCGGCCACAAAAGAAGACGTCACACACGACGTTTAGACCCAGAGCAAACAGTGTTTGACTGTTTCTGACTTTACGTTTCCCAGTTTTCCTTTAAGTTATAAAGTTACTGTGTTATCTACATTTGGCCTAATAATGATCCTTGTTGCTGTTTTAGAGGAGCGGAGCTTCTAGCTGCAGATTTCTGTCAGAATCTGCAGATTATACAGAACAAATAAAATGTTCACGTTTCTGCAACGCTATCTTCCCAGCAGCTGTACTGGACGGACAGGAAGCGTTCGCGATGTCTTCTCCGGCGCTGATAATCGGCGTCTGTCTTGTGTCAGTGACGTAAAAGATGGATTTAATGCGACATGACCGTCAAACAGCAGTCGCTTTCTAAAACATCAGATATGTGTCGGATTCAGGACCACATACGGAAGTGACCCAGGTCGGATTTGTAAATATTGGATTTGTGCCGTTCACACGGTCACACCATGATCGGATATGAGTCGCAGAGGGTCAGAAAAGTCGGATTTGATGTGCTTTCACCTGCAGTGTCAACGTAGCCTTAGTTTCAGTCGAGATTTGGAGACTGAGTGATCCATGAAGCACCTGGAGAGGAAATAATACTCCAACAGGAAAGGTGTGATGGCCTGCCTGATTGGAGAGGTCAAAGGTCAGCTCAACTGTGGCCGGTCTGCTGTTAAAGTCTGATCTGCGTGTTTGATGTTTGGCGATTGTGGCAGCGTGAAGTCTTCATCTACCGTTATGCTTTAGTTTTATTTATGCAGCGCCAAATCACAGCAGCCATCGCCTCAGGGCGCTTTCTGCTGTGAGGTCGATCCAACAATGACACAGAGTCAGTGAAGACTGTCAGCTACGCTCCACCAGGCGTAGCTAAGGGAGGGTGCAGGGCCACCTGATCCAGCACCAACTGCTTTATCAAGAAGGAACGCTTGAATCCTAAAAGTCGAGACGGTGTCTTTCTGCTGAGTCCAGACTGGGTCTGCAGCAGAGCGCCGTGAACACTGAGGGCTTCGTGGTGACGGCGCCGTAAGCAGCTGCTTGCCCTTGTGTGGATCCATACATTCATCTATTTATAGAGGCTGGGGGGTGGGGGGCTGATATAGATTAAAAGTGACTCCTGCTCTCTCACTCATCCCCAGGGGTCCACATGGTTACCATGGTAATGACAAGCAGCCCACTAACCATGTGACCCTCACAATACCTCTGTGCTCATGTCCCTCTCTCTCTCTCTCTCTGACATCATACTGAGGGCTGACTGTGGTTCGCCGGGCTGCACAGAGCGAGCGCAGGACCACAGAAGAAGCAGCTTCGGTCTGCCTGCAGCAGCTGTTTGTTGTTCAGCCCCGTTCTGTGTCACATGATACGTTTTGTTGGTCTCGAGGTCAAATCCTGCAGTGTGGCAGCAGCTCTGTGAGCCCGGGCATACCCCTTTACCTGTAGCATACCTGGGTCTCTGCTGGTGTCCTGGGTGTGCTCAGTCTGCCCCGAGGACAGCCGAGATGTTCTGGAAGAATGCGGCGTGGTCGTGGGATGATGCAGCAGGTGATGATGATGATGATGGTGGTTATCTGCTTGCAGCAGACCTTCGGAGGACTCCGGACTCCACCCCTGATTCTGACCTGAACCACATCGTTGATGCGGCTTCCTCCACCGGTGCGTCCACGGCCAGCCTGACAAAGTCCACCTCCACCAGTGCCACCAGCACCAGCGGGCCAAAAGACCTGATCTCCAGCCTCCACTCTGAGGTCACCAGCTACAGCAGCCACGCCTCCACACTGTACACCAACACCAGCCAGCAGTACGCTGGCCGAGACGGCAGCGCTATGCAGCGAATGGAGGTGAGTCAGCGTACACGCACACACGCCGTTAAACATGCACCAGGAGGAGGTGGAGGTGCGATGTTCACAGCGACCATATCTCCTTCTGTTCCTGAACGTAACGCAACAGACAACTAAGAAGTTGGTTGGTCACCAGAGAGTAACTGTAACTTTAGTTTGGTTTATCTGATCGACAGTGTGTGAAGGTTGCAGTTCCTCTACCGTCCAGCAGAAGCAGCACTAGTCCCAATCAGTGTTGGTCAAGTTACTTGAGAAAAGTAATTAGTAACTAATTAGTTACTTATTTTCAAAACTAATTAGTTACTTAGTTACATAGTTACTTTTCAAAAACATGATACACAACCTGAATACGTAATAAAGCAACAGACCTTTCAGCCCAATTCTACTTTTCCCCATAATCATCATATAAATCTGAATCAAATGAAAAACTTTTTATTAGTTTTATTAGTTTTAATCATTTAACTTTATGCATCATGCTTTTTAATGACATCATGTGACCGATAATATGGCTGCTGTCACTGTACTGAGCGCCCCAAGAAGGCGGAGCTTCAGTCTTGGTGAATGAAATTCAAGGATTTCGATACTAATTAACAGTAAGATGCTCTCCACAGTCTAGTACAGTTAGGATTAGCTGATAACAAAGCACTCTGCCCTCTTGTCCAAATATGGTCACTTCCTGAAAGAAGACCTGACATGTCTCTGTTGGGTCTTCAGATGTGACTTCACTAACCGGTGGGTGAAGCGTTACTTACAGTGTAACCAGCTGCTGATGGAGCGCGTCCTGCTCAGAGAGGATGAATAATGCTGATGGAGGTTATTCTGAGCATCATGGTCCTGTTTGCTCCGATTGCTCGCAGGCTCCTCGTATTTTACTGTTTTTCTGAGAGACTCATCAAACATTCATGTGATGAATTATGGAGTGAAGCTGCTTCTGTAACCATCACAAGCTGCTCTCTGACCCCAGCCTCAGAAACATCCGAAACATGAGGTCCAACACAGTGTGTCCTCTGTTCCTGTGCAGAGCAACCAGAGCTCCAGCTCTCAGGTGTTTGTGGGTGTTTCAGGCAGATTTCAGAGGACTCGCATTCAGACTCAGGAGCTTGGGAAAACATTAATGAGTCAAAGCCCTCACAAACACACGTCAGCCCGAGTGTGTGTGCTCAGGAAGTGTGTGCGTGTTATCACAGGGACACATCCACTGTTTTTGTGTGCCTGAGTGTGTGAGTTTCCTGCTATTATTCTGTGTGCTGGTTCCCACACACATACATCCAGTTCACCTCTGAGCCTCTGCTACGCGCTCACACGGGTTTACCTCGATCGGCACGCTGGACTCGGACCTGGTCTGGATCTTCATCCTGGTTTGGTTCAGCTCTGCTGAGGACCACTTGGTGGATCCACAGGATTCGAACTCTGACCTGCTGCCATGCACACCATCCACCGTCTGTGTCGCGTCTGCATCGGACAGAACCTGCCTCAGGTCTAAAGCTATGATTATTGATTCCATCGATCAGTCTTGACCTCTGTGCTTATTGATGATGTTGACTGGGACGTTTCATGCATCACAGCAGCTCTGAGACTAAAAGCTGTTTCAGGTTCTTGGATCCAGGTCAGCACAGTTTTCTTTGTTTCTGTCTGTTTAAAAGAGTGTGACAGATAATCGGTATTCAATACCGCCAATCGCAGGAAGCTCAGTTCGCCACAAAAATGGCAGAAAGCAAACTGCTTTCCTGATTGGCTGTGCAGTTTGATGTCACGCCTGGATGTGTGTCATGTTCCTGGGAAAAGCTCCACAGTGTCCTGTGTTGTGTGTGTGCTGTGTAACCGGAGCGTCTCACGTGCTGGTTTCGGGTCTTACTAAATGAAACAGGAAGTTCGTTCTGTTAGAGCAGGGCAGAGGGCGGAGCTACCAGTGATGGAGAGCTGGACCTCAGACGGTTTGGTCCAAAAGCATCAGGTGACATCAGAGAACAAGCAGAGCAGAACCACTAAAGTATAAACTGAAACGATGAGCCCAGACTCAAATTCTTTGTGCTAGTTACTAACTTTACTAGCAATTCCTTTATTTTTGTGACCTCTGACCCCAGAGAATAACTTAGACAAAACAGAGTTTTATCTCGGTTCAGTTTCAGCTCGTTGAGAGCAGAATAAGTCAGTCGGCTAATACGGAGCAGAGCTGTTACTATAATGTTGGAGACAAAGTGTGATGGTGTGGTTCGGGACTCAGCTGCAGGGGAGGGGTGGAGCAGAGGGTTCAGGGGCGCGCATGGCAGCTCCCCCGTGACTGGGAGCAGGTGCACGTGGAACAGGAGTTCTGTGTGATGTGTGCAAAGTCATGGTGGGTCTGTGAATGCTGGCTTTCCGTGCACCTAAAAAGTGAAGACTGTGAACAAACAGACAAAGAGACGATTCCCCGACCGACACTTTTACTGTTTGCCTGTCCTCGGCCCACATATGGAAAATATCATTGAGAACCAGAGCCGCACAGATCAGGTGAGACAGTTGACCTTCGACACCATCCTCATCCTGGTCCTGAGTTGTAATTAAAGAAATGGTCTGACTGGCTCCAGTTTACAAATCCTTCAGTGGACAGGTAAGAAAGGTCCAACGTGTTGGGGTTTAACTCCGTCCCACGATTTCTCAGGACAGCTCTGAGCACCGGCCCTGCATCCTCAGCCAATTAGAAGTCAGAAAACAATCCCTCTCCTGAGGTCCACCTTTCACAGTTTGAAGGTTTCTCGGTTCTTTGTCACGAGTTCAAACCAGATTGACGTGCGCTTCTGTTGATTCGAGAGCGCCACAGCAGTGGGACGTCTAAAAAGGCCGCTTCACTGCCTCAGAGCATGAATCTAAATGATTATTTGGTATTTAAATGTTCAAACAGCTTCTCTAACCTCCTCTGATCTCCTTTTCCCACTTGGCTCAGCCTGAGGGGGCCGGGGGAAATTGTTGATTTAGACAAATGCAAAGCTGTGTTAAAGGCACGCTCAGCTTCCTATTCCTGGTCATTCCACTTCCTGTTTGGCCTGAAAGCTCTGCAGAGGCAGGAAGATGGCGCAGGAGCGGGATCGTGAGAGCAGGACTGAACCTGCAGACAAATGCTGTTTGCATACCTTCACCCCGACGCTGTTCTTGGTTCCCCTGCAGCAGTTTTAATATCAGCCTGTCAGTCTGAAGTCGGGGACATTAAACTTCTATTGTGGCGAGGAAACTCTCAGGACGAGGCGACCTTTCCTTGCGCCGTCTCTGTTTACACAGCCATGGAAACCACTTGGAGACCCCCACCAAACATGGCCCAATGGGCCTCGGTCAACAGGGCCGTGGAGTAACACACGGTGCGCCCTTCAGGCTGAGAGCATCACAGCAGGAACAAACCTGACCTGACAGCAGCCTTCTGTCCTACACGACAGCTTCTCAGTCATCCTGAGAAGAAACTTTAAGGTGATGAGTCATCAATAACAGAGTGACCACGCCGGTAACTCAGCACAGGACAGCATACATGAGTCAAACGAACAGGTTCACTGCAGGCTCATTTACCCTCACAGTTTATGTTTACATGACACGACCGAACAAACGTTTTAGAACAGCAAGGTGATAGGTGCAAGGTGATCCAAAATACTGAAACCAACAGAAGGCTCCATAATCGACTCCTCAGCGGCTCTCTGAGAATAAACGTGTCATTTTAAGAAATCAGCCTTCAAAGAGGCGGGCTGTAAGATTTCAACTGCTTTTATTGGAAAATAAAATCTCCTGGAAAGGAGTAACCCTAACCCTGCGTATCATCACCAAAGCTCCCTGCTGATCTCTCATAAAGAGAAAAATCCTTCGGTGGTTGGCTTTTCCAAATGACCCCAAATCTCTAAACTGACCAGTGCACCAAAGTGTTGTCACCTGTAGGGTCTCACCTTCAGGTGAAACATCGTCAGAGTTTGCTCAGATGTGTGGAGAACAAAAGGAGTTCCTCCAGACTTAATCTGGGCTCTGTGACAGGAAAGCAGACCTGCTACGCCTCGCTGAGAAGGTGGAGTTTTAAACTGACTTCAGGTGTGTTCTGACTGTCCTGCAGGTGAGCATCGCTCGAGGAAAAGATGGCTTCGGTTTCACCATCTGCTCTGACTGCCCGGTCAGAGTGCAGGCGGTAGATCCAGGTGAGAAAGACAATTCCACGACCGCTGTACGACATCCCGTTCACTCACAGGTAATAAACACCTGGCTGTCCTCACTGCTCATAGGCGGTCCGGCTCATCAATCTGGACTCCGTCAGGGAGACTCAGTCCTGCAGCTCAATGGGCTTCCTGTAGAGACCTGGAAGTGCGTCGACCTTGCCCATGCCATCAGGTAACCCTGCCCCCTGTCAGAGTGACCCCACCTGTTCAGGTAAATCACAGGGCACATCTGGCCTTTTGTGAATACTAACAGTGGCACGTCTCCTCAGGAGCTGTCAGTCTCAGATTGTGTTGGTGGTGTGGAGAAGTTTACCTGAGGTCCGGTCAGCATGTGACGCTATGCTCCGCCCACACACACACAGCGCGGTGAGTTTCATGCGTGAGGACCATATGAACTGCACCTGTGGTCATAATCACAGCTGCAGATAATCAAAGGAGCTCTCATTCAGCTCATTTTAGTTTTACTTATACAACACCAAATCAGCTCGAGGTTTATAGCGTAAGACCTACGATAATACCCCGACAGTCAGACCTGCTAAAGCTAGCACTTGGTAACAGGAAGGAAAAACTCCCTTCTGACAGGAAGAAACCTCTGGCACAACCACCAGTGAGGGCTGGAAGACACCGTGTGGGAGCTTCAGTGCTTCCTTTATTTCTTCCTTTAGCCAAGGAGACATTGTAGCATCATTTGTAAAAGAAGAGGAGATGATGCCATCCCATAATTCATAGCAACACATCACCTGACCATCCAAGAAAACAAGTGCTGAACATTACATGCTAGTTAAGCTCACAGCTGAACATCAGAAGAACATGGGTTGATATAAACTCTGTGTTTTCAGGTTGTGTCTCTGATGTCTGCTCTCATGTTTACTTCACTGTGCTTCTCCTTTTCTGTATCATTGACCTCACAACAGCTCGCCAGACAAATGAGCGCTTATTAACTGATCTTACACTAAGCTAATGTTCCTCTGTCTCCTAGACGACAGGCAGGAAGTTGCTGTCTAACCCCACCCAAAGCAAACAAGACCGCAAATGGGGTCAGGGGTCAGGGGTCCGGGCCAGTTTGGGAGCTCTAGGTTCTCTATGGAGGGATAGAAAGGAGGACAGGGAGGAAGAGGAAGAGGAGGAAGACCAGGAGATGTACACACCTCACACCACCACCCTGAAGGGCACACGTGTGACATCATCAAATGGAGACAATTACATCATCCTGTCACCTGTCAGCACAGAAGGGCAGGTGAGTGTCAGGAGGCGGGGCCTGTATTCAGAAGGAGTAGAACACAGTTTGTCAGTGTTTGGTTCCAGCACTGAGGGTCCTGTGCAGAGACGTCAGAATAATCAGAACTGAAGTTTAGAACATCGACTTACTGCAGCCGTTGAATCTGTGACCGGGACCGACAGCCCCGTGACAACCTGACAGGCCAACGTAAAACGGTCTGAGTGTGAAGCACGAAGAAGACAATGTCTAAAAATGTCAGATGGTTTGAACACGCAGTGAGTTTAATCGATTCACCAAAGAAAGGAAAACCCCAAAGAAGAAGAAAAAACAAGTCGTAATCTGAAAAGCTGCCGTTTCATGAAAAACATTGTAAATACAGTAAGTTGCTGTTTTTATGGGAAATACCATGACGCTGTACAGTCATCATTCCAGTTAGAGAGTCGCTAAACTCAGATATTTGTGTTGAAAGAGAATATTTTAGTCAGTTTGACAGTTTCAGGTGAAACACTTTGACCTTTGGGACTGAGTAAACGCCACATCGAAACCATCATTATTCTGTAAAGCTCTCTTTATGTCTTTGTTTGCATTCATATATTTACCTGCACATCATTTTGTAGTTTGGTTTGCTGATGTTCGTGCACCATCAGAACGATGCTGAAATCAACAGTTTCCAAATAAATGTTCTCTTCCTCTCCAGCTGCTGCAACCAGTTTATCACGACAGGACTGGGTCGATCGGTACGACTTCCACTCTGAATATTATTCATCCATATGCAAAGTGCTCGTAAATATTATGATTATTTAATCGTTTCATTTGTGGTTATCCAGGACATCTGTACCAGACTCGCCCCAGAGGTCCGAACGTCCTCCACGACTCGTGTTTGGGGTCGTTACAGAGACCTTTTACCAGGCAAATCTCCACCCTGCCTCCACCTCTTTCCTCCACATCTTCGGCCCCGCCCAGAAACTATGGCAACTACCAGAATTGCACCATCGTTCAGTCACATGTGCCCTGCTCAGGATATGGAACCTACGTCACCATGGCGCCCAAAACCGTCATCTTCCCTATTTTCGTCCAGGTCAGAACCAATCCAGGTCCGGAGTCTTTAAACTGAACCAAAACAAATCCAGTGCCCAGAGCTCCAGGGTCCTGAACAAACCCAGAAACTCTTAGAGCATCTATCTATCTATCAAAACGCTGCAGCAAGAGTACTGACAGGGACTAGAAAGAGAGAGCATATTTCTCCTGTTTTGGCTTTCTCCTGTCTTTACCGGTCATTTGGGCAAGCTGGTCCCTCTGAAGGAAACAATCAAAGGCTTTAAGAGCATTCTAGGAGGTGAATATGATGCCTTGCCAGAACAGGCTTTCTACATGGTGGGCCCCATTGAAGAAGTAGTCCAAAAGGCTGAGAAACTGGCCGAGGAACATGCGTAAACGATATCTTTCAAGGGAAGCTCCTGTTTTGGCTTCCCTTCATTGGCTTCCTGTTAAATCCAGAATTGAATTCAAAATCCTGCTCCTCACATACAAGGTCTTAAATAATCAGGCCC